CACCACATAAGCAAAAAGAAAAAAGCCGGAAGTGGCGCTGTGGCTCAAGTGGTAGAGCGCTAGCCTTGAGCTGAAGAGCTGAGGGACAGTGCCCAGACCCAGAGTTTAGGCCCCACAACTGGACCCCCCCCAAAAAAAGTTTTTATATGTATACATAAAACACATGTATGTCTATCCATTTATATGTATGAATATAGATTTATAATATAAATATATATTTATATAAACATATTATAAATATTCATACATATATAAATATATGCATGAATATATATTCATATATATTTATAATATAAATATATATTCATATATATAAATTTGAATCAGGCATCTTTAGTATTTTGAGATTGGAAGAAAAATGGATAGTAGAGTCTCTGAAATAAGGCTAAGGACTGTGAAGAAAAACACCATAGATCATGAGATTCGTAGAATCACAGATGTTTGTAATTGTACATTGACAAGATAGGCAAAGAAAATTAAAAGAAGTCTAAGAGACTGGGAGGGACTGACAAGTTGCAGGAAAGATGAGGTTAAATTAATACCCTGAGACACCAAGAAAGTCAGTATAAAAAAGGTGGTATTACTATTTTTTGTTTTTGTCAGTCATGGGGCTTGAACTCAGGGCCTGGACAGTGTTCCTGACTGAGCTCTTTTGCTCAAGGCTAGTGCTCTACCACTTTGAGCCACAGTGCAACTTCCAGCTTTCCAGTAGTTAATTTGAGATAAGAATCTCACAGGGAGTTTGTTGCCCCGGCTGGTTTGGACCTGCAATCATCAGGTCTCAGCCTCCTGCAATAACCAGCTAGGATTATAGATGTGAGCCACTGGCACCTGGCAAGTCAATTTTTTTTTTTAATGAAGACAAAACTGAAATATCCTTATTTCACATCCTCTATAAAAGTACAGAAATACAAATTGGTTCTTACTTCATACAAGTCTGCTGAAAGCATACTAATGTTTATATAACAAGCAACAGAACATTTGTAGTAACAGAAAAAGAATGTAGCTATATTCCCTCAATTTATTACTCTACAAGTATGAGTCATTCCCTTATGAGAAGAGGTCTGAAGGAACAAAAGATACCTCCTTATCTTTACCTGGGCAAAACAGTGTTGAGCCTAAAATAAGTTTTTATCTTGAGAACTACACAGGGCAGTATTGCAATAAGAAAACCAAATTGATTCAACAGATTTTCATTTCAAATAAAACTTTATATGATGATCAAACACTGAAATACCTTCATACTATTAACCTTATGGTCTACTGGATATGACTGGATCTATGATTGCAGCACTAATCTGTAACTTGGTGATGTCTACACTGAAGAAATGAACTAAATGGATTTGTGTGGTCATCTCATTCTTAATCCTGTGGCTGAATTGACTTGGGATTTATTAATCCTATTCTCTCCAATACACATACCCTAATATTGAGGATAGGTTAAACTTTAACACAGGACTGTCAAATTTACTAAGACTCCATTGTTTTATGATTTAGGTAATAGGCACAATGTGAATAAATTCTTCTAGAATTAGTCTTTTTTTTTTTTTTTGACAGTCCTGGGGCTTGAACTCAGGGCTTGGGCACTGTTCCTGAGCTGCCTTTTTGCACATGGCTAATGCTCTACCATCTGAGCCACAGTTCCATATTTGGCTTTTTTTGGTAATTTGGCTTTTTTTTTAATTGAAGAATCTCACACTTTCCTGTCTGGGTTTGGATTTCAACTGCAATCCTCAAATCTCAGCCTTGAGTAGCTAGGATTGATTACGGGCATGAGTAACCAACACCCAGGTATAGTCTGCCTTTTTATTAAAGTAAGTTATAGTGTTTATTGCTATCTTTAAATTATGCAATTAGTCTTTTGCTAAAGCATATTGAGGATATTTATCCACATCACTAAGTTCACTTTTGGAGCCATAAAAGGGTTTTAAAGCACATTTCTTAGGTTGCCATAAAATATGTTCAGAAAAACCTAGCATGCTACTGTCTTAAAACATTACATGGAAGGAGAATAGGATTGTTCTTGTCACTGATATAATGTATTAGAAACTGATCAAAAAAGATGGTTATATCATGCTTTTGCTCATCTGTGGAATATAAACCTAAAGGATATATGCATAAACAGGCATATATACATATATATATATACACATGTACATATATAGAGATAGAACAAGGGTGAATGAATGGGAACATGGAGAGGGAAAGAGAATAATGCAGTGTCTAATATCAAAATACACTGTGTCTATGTATGAATATTGTATAAGGAATTTAGTGAAAGTTGATGAGAGAGAACTATAGAGATTATTTTACTTCAGTATATTCATGTGAATATACTGAAACAATTAATACTTAAAAAAAAAAACAGAAACTACAATAGGCTCTGTTGGGGGCTAGGTACAAGTGGGAGAGGGGCAAATGAAGGGTAAACCAGAGAATATGACTGATGTACATTCACTATAATATGTAGAGATCACAAAACTAGTTTGAAAAAAATATTTTTGATACTTTTACTTTGTAACGGAGGAATAGGTAACCACATTTTCTAGAAGATAAACCCAAACACTGGAGATAAAGACAGGCCTCTAGAGACCTCCAAGTATTTCTATAGAGAAGAGATTTCCACTAATCCCTACTCTTTAATGTGTTGGAGACATCAATCAATGCAGACACTACGCACAATTCTCATTTTTAATTTTATTTTTTTAAAAAAGACAGATTTAGGATATGGTAAGAAATTACTTAGTTACATATTTTTATATCTGTCAAATGCTACAGTAATGGAATAAATAAATAAGATTTTCAATGTTCAATGTTTATAGACATATTTATAAAAAATGACTAAATCAGAAGACATAAAATAATGTTGATACACACCAGGAAGGGAGTTAGGCAAGGAAAGGCACATCGTTTCACCACAAGAAATAAAGACCACAGTTGAAGGCTAATGGACAGCCATAGCTTTAGATCTTGTGGTAGTATTCCCAGCACTGGAGGGTCATTATATGTTAGAACCTTCTTTACGGTACTTAGCTGGAATAAAGAGAAACAGTTGGAGAATTTACTGTACGATCCTAATATAATATTTAAGAGATAGCACACTTTTAATAAGCCTGGTGTATGAAGAAGGAAGAGCAAATATTGAAAATGGTCTCTAGTGTTGAAAATTTTTACTGAGTTTTAGAAAAAGGTAATATACTGTAACCGGATTAACTTGTTTATCTGGAGGTGTTGGAATTTTTAAGTAAACACTGTATTTTTCACTTCTTGTAGACAGACAACAGTGTAACAGCTGCCATATTTCATCTCAGATAAAGTCATGTGCCAAAGTTTAGGAAAAAGGATCTTAAATATTTTCCCCATTTTATGGAACTTAAGTCTTTGAAAATGTTACTAATACTGCTAACTGACTGGCTATCTACAACAGCAAAGTGAATATGAAGTGTTGACAATGATAAGAGGTTTCCCAAAATTAGTGTTTCTAGCTCAACATATATAGTCATCTACTTACTGGAAAATTTAACACACATGAGAACTTGTTCTGGGTCAATTTCCAACAGTTTTCTTTCAGAAATTTGTATCATTTCTAGAAATGTCTTTCTATCTAGACTTTGAACCTAGTTTCTTTGAAATATAGAATACTTCAAGAGTAAATCAAATGAATTTTAGTGGTATTAAGTCTTTAGTGGTACATAAACAAGTGGATTTTTTAGGATAAAATGGTACATCTACAAAAATTAGGAATTAAATTAAAACGATGAGGAAAGCAAGGGGAAAATACCAATATTAAAAAAATATGATGGCAATTGTTTATAAAGCAAGCGGCTTCCCTTTCATGCCACACGATATGCTTTCATTAAGGTGTACTCTTTCCGGTTGGTGTGAGCAGCCCAGATGAAAAGAGCAGAAGCCATGAACTGTAAGGGAGCTGAGACACAAGCTAGGCAGAAGGACCATCCAAATTCACCAGTTACTTTCTCAGGCAGTTGCAATTTCTGATGAAGTAGTTCAATTCCAGCAACATAGCAACTTACTGAACCCAATGTACACAGACCTTGGGGAGAAATTGAGAAAAGAAAACAAAACATCTCTAAATAAGAGCACAGTAGAGTTTTTCAGGCAGCATTACAGGTGAAATGTTTAGACATTATGACTCCCTAAGGAGACAGAAAGAAGCCAAGTTAGATAAGATGATAAGACCCACCTGCAAGGAGGTGAAGAATGCCAGTAGCAATGGTGGGATATAAGCTTCGGCAGATACAAGCACAGAGTCCAATCAATGCCCCAAAGCACATCAAACCTAGACTTACAAAAGGTAAAAGGAACTGGCAACGCCAAAGATCTGGTTTTAAAAGAGGAGAAAAATAACTACGTTACCATAATTTCAGACCATTTTACAACAAAAGAGATATTCTAATTAGACCTTACTCAAAAGGTGAAAAAGCATTTTAATTCTGCATCCTTTAGCAGTTTATTGCCATTTATTCTACAAATGTTTTGTGACCTAATCCCAACAACTATTACTACTGAAAATTATTATTTCTATTTTATAATTGAAGAAACGTAGACAAGAGGCCTAAATAACTTGTTCAAAGTAAAAGTAGGAAAGTAAGGTTTGAAACAAAAGTAGTGTTTCTACATGCAGACAGGATCAAGTCCTCACAGGATCTAAAGGCAGTAATACTATAAATGTATAGGGATTATAAATGACTAGTCTTGCATAGATTCAACATAACGGATGTGGAATACATTAGGTGCTCAATACCTGTTTTTTTATATTTTCTTATCCACATGAGAAGATGATAGCCTCACAAGTACCCCATTCGAATTTCTTATCATTTAATTATTAGTAATCCTATGCATTTCCATTGCAAAACAGAATACTGTACTTATTCAACATTTCCTCTCATAATATAGTCATTTCTAGACAAGCTCAAAAATACCTCTGTAGCCCTGAAAACTGATGCTGAAGTTTGAAGATAGTTATTACAAGGGCAGATTAACCATCAAATAATACAATTTTTTTTTACAACTGTATATACACTTTTTGGTACTACACAGATGAACATGTTTGACAAGCATGATGCATTCAGAGCTCAAACTTTTTCATGAACTTAGGCAGTGGGAGTGTTATCTCACATACAAGAGTTTATTATTATTTCAAATGTCCTTATACTCAAAAGTAACATAAAAATGTATTTTGGAAGTCTGGATTCCATCCTAACAGGTGTTAGCTGTCTCTCTCAACTAAGTAATTTGACATTTGGTAAGTTTATTTCTACTTTTTAAAATGTATTACTAATAGAACAGAGCTCACTGGAATACGACTAGAAGACTTACTTCACATTCACATTGACCTACAATACATTGTTTTCCAAAAATAAAGTTAAGCAAACATAACTATTTCCTTTTCTGCCCAATTATTCAACTGAAATCAAAGTACTCACAGGTCCGAAGTAGATCAATTCCACTATTATGGTTTCCAGGATCAACGTATTTCAGCATGAACTGCTCTGTTAGTGTGAAACTCATGCATTTTGTAACCACATCAAATGACTCTGGAACAAGAATATCTTGTTGTTTTCATTTAAAACATTTTACAATCATCTCTTTCTGAATTACTTTCTAAAATAAGAAGTAATAATAGAAAGATTTTTCCATGGAAATTATCAATCTCTTTTGCTGACTAGCAAATGGCTTTCACCAATGCCCAACAGATAACACACAGTGATAGGATGATAATATAGACATAAGGACAGAAAAAAGTGCAATGAATGACAGTACAATGAACGACAGATGAAGTATGTTAATAGACTAGAAAGGAGTCAGGCAGGAACTGACTGAAATAAGAACTTTTAGCTTCTTACTCTACTATCCATGGTCTCCATTTCAGATGATAGCACATTTCTACTCTTCCAGTTCTTCAGACTAGAAAGTTTAGAGTAATTCTTGCTCTTATATACTCCAAAAGGAAATCATAGAGGTTTAGGGTTTCGTTTTGTTTTTCAAAATATAGTCAAACATAGCTGCCACTTAGGTGCCACTCATCAGGATTACAGGATTTGCTTCCAATTCTACCTTCTGCATGAGTATTTGTTCTCACCATATCAACTCCTACTCAATGCCCTACTCAGTGGATCTTCATTATGTTCAGATTGAGCATCAAAGTCCTCATGTTTTAGGACCAGAGAGTCCTATATGATTTACCCTACTCCCAATTGCAGAACAGGACCCTAGCAGCATTTCCCCTCTCTCCCCCTCTCCCTCCAATCCAGTCTAGTGGCTTCTTTACTAATCCTTAAACTTTTCAATTACACTACTGTCACAGGACCATTGAAATAATAACTATTCCTTCCAACCAAAATGATTCTCCTCCAAAACCTGACTACTTATAAGTTCAATTTCTTCTTTTAATCTTTACCTATATCGAATCTTTACTCAAGTAGTATCAATGAGACCCATTCTGACTATCCTATTGGAAATCGTAATCTATACCCACCTTTAAATTGCTCTATTTTTTAATAGCATGTCATCTTTTTAACATACTGTGTAATTACTGTTTTTACCTTTGCACTTGTATTTATCATGTTTATTGTCTGGCATTCCTTACAAAGGAATAAGGATTTGTTCTTCAAGTTATATGAAGTCTTAGAACACACAGGAATGCAACAAATGTTGAACTAGTGATGAAATAACTCATAGAGATCCCAGTATCAATTGCTCCTTTGTCTTCATAAGTAGACCTGATCATTTAACAATGAATTTTAACCAACTTTCTCCCCTTTCTTCACATACTACCCCTTTTATTCATACATAAATGTTACAATCCTTTTGATACACTATAAATGAAGCTTACTGGGCTATGACTGAAATATAATACTTCCCTCTGCCAAAAGACACAACCATAAATAAAAATAAACTGCAAAGTTGTTTCTTACAGAGAGTCCTAAGGCTTTCAATTTAATATGTGGACATTAAAGTCTTATAAGCATTAAATAAAAATGCTTATAAATGTAAGGAATAACTCAGACCTTTTTTCTATAATAGAAAACTTTTAACCAATAAACTGTTGAAAACAGTTAAAACTTTTACCCAATAAGTTGTTGAAAACAGTCTCAAACAGATAGACAGATGATAGATTTAAATGCAAAATTGTTCAAATTATATCTTCTACAATATGGGGCTAAATGATATACAAAAAAGACATCTAATCTATAAAAGGACCATCAGTTCATATCTTTTGACTTGATTTAGGATACCTGTCTCTTTGTCAGTTAACAGATAATTACATTAATGTTCTTTTTCAACTATTTCCTCATGACATGTGAGATTAATATTAGTAAATACTGTATTAATGCACAGAAGTTAAGGGGAAATAATGGCAGAATGAGACAGGTTAAGGTTTGAGGAAGGAAAAATTCACAAATGTGCTAATATACAATTTGGCAATCATTAAGACACTTGAGCTATTATTGGATAAACAGGAGGAGAGAAGTTGAAATAAAGGAATACCTGTTCTTTCTGGTGGTGCATACCAGTGTGTGTTTTTAGGTATGGTGATACACCGTCTCCATAATCCCACATTGCCATTATACCGGAAAAGGGCATCATTGTAAGTCTTCTCATCAGTTTCATCACTAATGAAATCTTCCCAGATGCTTTTATTCAAATCACTGGAATTTTCTTGAACTGGACTTCGATATTCATACCAGAAGTCTGTGCCAATAGAGGCTGCCATGTAGATGGTAGAAATGAGGCTAAGCACACAAGCAATCACAAATGCTGTAGCAAAACGGTTATCCATTCTGGCATTCAGACTGCTCTGTTTAAAAGTTTAAAAAAAAAAAAGGAAGGGAATTTAGTGTTCAAGAGCAACTATTCCACATCATGTTTAAATAAATCTCAAAACCACACTATAACCCATCCCTTGTTTTATTTAAAGCAATAATATAGTTATTAGGTATTATTAAAAAAAATAAAGCAAACGTTCAACTTAAAACAAATCTCATTCTAATGAAAGTACTTATCGAATGCCACATACCCAGGATGCTACGGAGACAGAGGTCTTGTTCTCTAGTCTATCACCTGCATACTAAAACAGACAACACTGAAATGGACATACACATTACAGATACAAACAAGACAGGCCCCGAGAGCAGCGGCGTACCGTGCACACACTTTCATTGGGAGATGACTGAATGTTTGCACAAGTTACACAGAGTGTAAAGTACTCTGGGTTTGAGTGAGAAAAAGGGCACAGGCAAAAGAAGCAGTGCTTGATAAGAAACGGACTCGTTATCTTGCCCATGTAATCGTAACTCCTCTGCACTGTATTTTCACAATAATAATAATAATAAAAAAGCAGCATTGGAAATCGACTCCTCCTCCTTTGCTCGGGAGAAGGAGACCTTCCCAAAATACAGGCAGGAGTGAGGTGCACGGAGAACAGTGCCAGGTGGGCATCTCCGGGAACCCGCTGGGGCTGATCCGAGCCTTTGCCCGGACACAGCTTTTTCCCACTCCAGCTCGCTCTCTCCAGCACTTCTGGAACCTCCCCGGCCGGCCTCAACCTAGCTCTCTCCACCGAGACCGAACGACCCCTCCTCCTCCCGGCCGGGCAGAGAGAACTCTGGAGCGGGGAAAATGCGAACGCTCCCCGGGCGCGGACCGACTCCGAGGCGGCGGGAGCCGTCGACGGCTGCGGCGAACGACTCCGGGCCGACCAGCCCCGGCCCCGCGCACCCCGAGGTGCCCGCACCCCGCACCTCACGCCCGAGGTCCGGGCAGGGCAGCAGGGTTGGGGAGAAGGGAAGTGACTCGGGGAAGGCTGGGGCGATGGCAACGATCCACGACCACTCGGGGGAGTTGGGGTCCGAGGTGCCGCTCAATCCTCTCTCACTTTGGGGCTCGAATCAAACCAAATGAAACAAAATGAGCTCCCGACAAGCAGCGGCTGGCACGTCCGAGCCCGGCGTGAGGCCGCCTCGCGGGCCGCGGCAAGGTCGGGAGCCCCCGGGACCCGACCACGCCGCTCGGCCCCGGG